TCTCCTCATGGATGAGGTTGAGCGAGCTCAAACAATGCTTTTTAGTTTGGAGAGAGAAAAGGTGCAATTCACAAGCTTTATTTGGTATTCAAATGTATTTTTTGGTGTTCATGTGTCGGGCTTCATTATGCGATCAATCCATGATCCGTCTATGTTTACGTAGGGGGTTCTCCGATCTCAGTTACAAACAGCAAATGAAGATACAGAGATGAAGAATAGGTATAGCACTATTGCAGTCCTTGTGTTTTCAGATTAATGATATTTTGGCACCCAATGACCCAAAGTAAACAATGCAAGCAACTTGTGAAATGAATATGTGTACATTGAAGCATCCAAATTGTTCAGAAATAAACCTTTTCCTGTTTCGGAGATAAACAAAATTGTTTATAGCCATACTATCCATTAATCCAATACCCTTTAAATTCAAAATTTTTGTTGTGGTACAAAAGATGGTCGACCTGTTTCCTAGAAAATATGGACACTTACATGACGATATCATTCCATTTTGCTTCCTGTTTCATTTTCACTGTCTTGTGGACTTCAAATTACTTTTGGTGGTTGTTGCAGAGATAGTGTGGACTCAAATAGTGCTCTTGAAAACTCTTTAATTGCCAAAGAGAAGTTAATATCTGAATTGAACATGGAGCTACACAATATTGAAACAACCTTGTCAAGTGAACGAGAAGAGCATATGAATGACATAAAGAAATTTACTGCAATGCTCAACGAAAAGGTGATGTTCATTATGCTAAGGATTATAAAGATTACACTAATCTGTTATTTTAACTAGTTACAAGTTGAAGCTCATTACTCATCAGTCTCTTCATGTACTTTTCTTCTAAGATGATGAGAAATCATTGCCCTTAGGCCCTAAGTTACTTAAATGCATGGCATGCTATTCCTTTTTGGGATGCATGATGTTCTCTTCTCTTAATATAGGAAGCTGCACTTGAGGAAATGAAGAGAGATCTTCAGGCCAGGCCAACAGAAAAGATGGTTGATGATTTGCGTAAGAAAGTGAAGATTTTGCAGGTGGTTCTATTGTTCTTTCTAAAGGTCTTTTAGGTAACCTCTCATTTTGGGTACCTAGCTTTGCACTATCTAAGCAACTAATATGGGCATACATATTCAGGCAGTGGGTTATAATTCAATTGAGGCTGAAGACTGGGAAGTGGCAACCAGTGGGGAGGAGATGAGCAAGATGGAATCACTTCTTCTTGATAAGAACCGTAAAATGGAACATGAACTAACACAGTTGAAGGTATGAATATGGCTTTTTTGTGACATGACATCCAATCACATCTTCAATCATTTCAAGAAACTATGTTAGTTAAAGAATCCAACAACTGTCATAATATGGACTATTTTTATGTAGTTTCAGTGAAAGATAGAACCATTGCATTTTGTACCTTGTCCATGTTAACGAGATCAGTTTCATTTCATTTTCTTTATAAAATCTTTAGATTACATTATACTCTTTTCAGGTCAAACTTTCAGAGAAATCATCTTCACTAGAGACAGCAGAAGAGAAGATAAAAGAACTTATGGCAAAGGTTAATGAACAACAAAAATTGATACAGAAATTGGAAGATGATATTTCTAAGGTTTGGAACAGTTGCCATTAAAACCTCCTTTTTACTATATAAGAGAAGTTGAACCGCTTCATTTTTCTCATTTCTCTTTTGTGCTTTTTATAACTAGCTGTTCTTTTGGTACAGGGTTATAGTTCCAATCCAACAGATAATAAAGGAACTTTCCTTGATGATTGGGATCTATCAGAGGCTGGACGGGGGGAGGTGTCTGAGGTGAATTCCTGTTCACTGTATTCTATTCTTATTGCAGTGGCTAAATTTCCAAAGAATATTCGTCAACAGAATTCAAATATCATGATTTCAACTGTAACTATATTCATAATTGGGTTATCACTGTAGTTCTGTTGTGGGGAAGCCTAACTACTTTCAATTCTAAATAATGATCTTTGACAGCATTGAAGCTTTTCTTCTTAATGAACTATGGACATAAACTTTGGAACCACGTGATGTTCATATTAGGAGAAGTAAAATAGTATACACAATACATCTTAGTAAGAGCTCAAGTATTATTCTTTAACCTAGTTGGTGATACAAGAATGAGTAGTTATTTTTGTGTCAACAATTTCATATTCGGTGATTTTGCACTTTTCCCCCCTTGTGTTATATTGCATTTGCGGACTAAGATTTCTTATTTTTGCTTCTGCTGCTTCAGAGTTCGGATCAAAGGCATGTATCCGTAGACCAAGATCAGAACTCAATGCTTAAAGTGATCTGTAATCAAAGAGATCGATTTAGGGCACGCTTACGAGAGACAGAAGAGGTACACTTATAGCCAATATGGATTCATATCTTTCTACTCCTTATTATTTCACATTATAGTTCATCCAAATTTAGATTATAATGTTACATCCACTGGGTGAATCCTTCACATTTGATAGGAAATTAGGCAGTTGAAGGAGAAGATTGGGGCATTAACAGTGGAGCTGGAAAAGACAAAAGCAGATAATGTCAAATTATATGGGAAGATTCGTTATGTCCAAGATTACAATACTGAGAGAGTGGTTTCTAGGGGTTCTAAGAAGGTTTGTAAATTGCTCTCTCCAACCGGACACCTGTCCTCTTCTTATTTTGCACTCTACAACTGAGTGCTTACCCTGAACTTCTGATTAGTTTGTTATTTTATGTTCAGTATGCAGAAGACCTTGAAAGTGGTTTCACATCAGATGTTGAATCTAAATACAAGAAGATATACGAGGATGATATAAATCCTTTTGCTGCATTCTCAAAAAAAGTAGGTCATTCGCTTTACATCCCTTAAGTGAAGCATTACTTTTTCCGATCACTACGAATGATTTTAAGTTTGTATTTACTATTTAGTGTCACATATCCAAAGTAACTTGCATCAAACCTCAGATTTCGGATGATGTCAAAAGTAACTTTGTGTTCAGAACTGTTTGTGTTTGTGAAATAGTTTCTATCCATGTGAGGGTTTCAGATGTATTGTTATTTAGGTTAGAAAATGGTATCATGTCTAGTCATCAAGCCCACGTCACCATTTTCTATAGTCTCAACTCTCAGTATATATTCCTTGTTTCTCAATTAAATTTTGTTATATTCTAGCAACAAACTGATATATCTATCTTTTGCATGTAAATAGGAAAGGGATCAAAGATACAAGGAGCTGGGAATCAGGGACAGAATTACACTCAGCAGTGGACGCTTCCTTCTTGGTAACAAGTATGTTCCTGCAATCCTGCCTAGTTTCAGGCACACTACAATGTTTTCGTTGCTTCTGTTTAAATGATTTTTGCCATTGTTACTTTATGCTATCCATCGTTCTTGACTTCTTGATATAGTTCTTCAAAATGTATGTAGTAACATCAAAATGCCGTTGATGTTCATGGTTGTTTATGTGGATCAGTTGATAAAAATTTGTCTGGCAGGTATGCCCGGACTTTTGCGTTCTTTTACACCATTGGATTACATGTATTAGTCTTCACCTGTCTTTATCGAATGTCAGCTTTGAGCTATCTAAGGTATATACCCGACCAGTGCTAAATTCGTTGTCAAGGCTTTTATATAGATGGATTTTCACTAACTACTATTTTCCTTTCGTTCAGCCATGGCTCAGAAGAATCCCTGATCGGAGACAAAAAAATTGATCTTCCACGCGGACACTAATGGGTATGCAGTTCATTCTCGGGGTCGGGGGTCAATTGTCAGATCTCAGATGGGATGATAACAAATTGTCAATATTCAAATATATATCGAATATGTTGTACATAAAACAGTCCTGTTTTGTTGTATATCAATATATTGATGCAATCAAATATAGACTCAAATATAGACTTTGGCACACTTGGCAATAGTATATCGTTGATTGAAGAACTATATGTACTCAAAGAAAGCAATTTATTTTTTTTATATATACTACACTGAAGATTTTAACATTGTTTTTATATGAATAAATTGAATGGTTAAATTTAAGTATGTTATAAAATCGTTATTTTTTTTTAAAAAAAAAGTTTTGTTATTTCCTTTTAAAATGTTACTTAAAAAGGTTAAATTTGTATGAAAAGATGATTTTTGCATTTCAATAGAACAGCTGCCTTTATTTTTATATTCAATTTTCAAGTTTGGTAGCGCAGAAACAAGCCCACCTAATAATTTCACTTCGGTACATTCTTTCACCAAAGTATACCTGTAAAATTTTAAATTCAAGTTTGTAGATAGGAGAATTCTCACTTTGATTAGTTCAACCAAGTAATGCTAATATAAAAAATAAATAAATAACTTCCCAATGATATTTGATTAGTTGATTACAAAACAGGACTTTTTATATAGGACTGATCATTCTTACATTTAACAACTTATGTGACTGTGAGACTTAAAAAGAATATAGGAATAGAAAGGTTTACTGAAATAACAATATAAGACAAGAAACAGCAAAAAAGTAACCAAATAATAATGTTAGGAAATTAACACGTCTAATGAAAAAAAAAAAAGGTTAGCAAAATAAAAATACGAGGGAAAAAATTGGTTATCTAATATTTTTAAAGGTGAAAAAAAACATAGTATAGTGAGAAAATAAAATAGGCAACATAAGACTAATAATATTCCCATCATGCATTCTACGTCTCTACCTTAGAACTTCACTACTTGTCTTAGTTTGAGTAGTTTCTTTCTGACATGGAGTCATTTACGGTGAGTTTGGATTGACTTTTGAAAAAAGATATTTTTATTTATGTCTTATTTAAAAAGATCTTTTACTAATAGAAACTGTTTTTTCTTTTGCTTTTTTTAAATAAAAGTACTTTTTTTCATAAATGCATCCAAATGATACAACTTTTATGAAAAGTATCTTTTTTTAAACAAAAAAAATATTCTTTTCTTAAAAAAAAAAAGGCCAATCCAAACAAACACTTAAAACGGAATAAAAAAGATAATATGACATCTAAGTATCAACTTGTCATTGTTATATAGTGGTGAGTATTCCTGCCGCTCACGCGAGTGATCCGGGTTCGATCCCCGGCAACGGCGTTTCTTTTATAAAATTCTTTTTTAAAAATTTCCCAATCTGCAGTGATTCGTCCTCTCCAAGCTTCCTAGTTTCTTCGTTTTTAGGGTTCATGTGACTACTTCAACTTGCTATCTCGTTGAAAACTCGAACCACAAAACATGAACCTTTGCGCGTCTTCATTCAAATTCAACTTCCCCGGCTGCCAGCGCTGCTTGCGCTTGTCAAAACCCCTAATCTCTGCGTCTTTCACGGTGTCTCTCTTCTCCCATCAGAATCCTTCTTCAACTACCGCAATGGCTGCTTCCATATCCACAGATTCCTCAAAGCCCAATAAGAAAGACCCTTGGCTCATCGTCGGCCTTGGAAATCCCGGCAAGAAGTACTCTGCCACCCGCCACAATGTCAGTTATGCTTTTCTTCTCTCTCTTCTTGTTCGAATTGGAATTGGAACAAGTTTCAGTATTCTTTATATGAGTTGATTGGTTTTAGGTTGGTTTCGAGATGGTTGATACTATTGCCGAAGCTGAGGGGATATCTATGAGCAGCGTTTCCTTCAAAGCCTCCTTTGGAAAAGGTACAAAAAAAAGTTTATTTTTGTCTAATTGAATCTCAAGGACATCAAAGCAATCAATGTTAAAAGTGTAGGGTTATCGTTGCTTTCTTATTGCAGGTTTTATAGGTGATGTACCAGTTATACTTGCAAAACCACAAACTTTTATGAATGCAAGCGGCGAATCTGTAAGTCCCATATCTCAATATTCACATTTAATGATACAGAATGTGTTGAGGGGGAAAAAAATTTCTTGACAATATTGCAAATGTGAAAGCAAATTGATTAGTGCTCAAAATTTTGAGTCCTTTTAGAATGATAAATTGAAATTCTTTGGATACAGAAAATTCAATCAGACTAAGTTTCGGTTTGAACCAGAAAACCATGCTGAAATCATAAAATCACAAGAATCCAGACACTTAAATAGTTGGGTCAGCAATGAACATGGACAACGGTGTTTTTCCAATTTTTTTAATGTGAATGACTTCCAGATGAAGTTTCCAAACAATTTAGAGAATGGTACAGTTCATAAGTGTTGTCAGTTTTGAGTGATCAAATATCTATCCTTCAGTAACTCTTTGCACTTTGCACCCGGCAACCCCGAGGGAAGCCTTATTGAAGTACTAATTGCTTTGTATTCTTAGTCAGTGGGTTTACTATAATAAACGCTTTCATCTTGATGCTGATTGGTTTCTGTTCAAATCTGTTTTTGAAGGTTGGGGCCATAGTTTCATATTACAAGATTCCATTGAAGCAAGTAGTTGTGGTAAAGTATCTATGTTATAATAATGTTGTTTCTTTGTTTTACAAGTGATTAACGTAAAGAAACTCTACCAAAAAAAAAAAAGAAAAAAATTAAGGTAAAGAAGACGGATGATCATCTTGAGTATTTAAGTAATAATTCTTTGACGCAGATCTTTGATGACATGGATTTGCCATTTGCTAAATTGCGGCTACTACCAAAGGGTGGACATGGAGGCCATAATGGGTAACTATAATCTTCTTTATCTATTTTTATGTTTTGGAAGTAGCCCAACTTGTGTTAATTCTTGTGGTATTGGATTTTTTTTTCTCTTAATCTGGGTTGCTGGGGCATGTGCGGTGGGAGGGGGAGCCAGAGGAACTGTCTTAAGTCTCAAAAAGGGCTTGATATTTGAACATAATTTTTAGTATGCTAATTTATATGTGTTATACAATACACATCGGTCTTATTTCTTGCTAAGTGTTTCCCTTAAATGAAGCATTAATATTTTTTTGTCCTTGCTTGTTGGCAGAATGAAAAGTATAATTAATCACTTTAAAGGGAATACTGGTTTTCCCCGCTTAAGAATCGGTAAATTCATAACCTGCCTAAGATAAAAGATTTATTTTCTTTACTTTTGTTTGGACTGCAATACTTATTAGTAAATTTGTTGATTTTACTAGGCATTGGGCGACCTCCTGGGAAGATGGATCCTGCAGCATTTGTTCTTCGCCCTTTCACTAAGCAGGAAAGAGAAGAGGTAATTATTTTCCATCGCTATTTCTGGGAACAAAACGACCTTTGGTATGTGGACTTTGCTTCTTAATCTTGATAAACACGTGTTTCAGTTGGACTTTACATTACAAGATGGATTAGAAACAATGCGGATTCTTTTGCTAGAGGGATTTGATAAGAGTGCAACATTTGTTAATAGTGCCAAAAAGATAGAGCAAATGGGTTGAGTGATTCCTGAATCTAAAAATCATTTTGCCAAGTTGAAACAAACAGAATCATGTGGCTACGAGATACAAGTTAGCGCGAAAGGACTATGCTCCATTGTCAATTTGATAGGCCAATGCTTAAGCAAGTATTCATCCATTCTTTCAGAAAGCAGTTACAGGGCAGTGAATTAAATTAGAGCCTGATGCTCAGAATCTTCACGCTCTCGTAAGTATGCTTCTGTTACATTTTATCATTTTTTATCAGCTCCAGCGCAATGAATCATTATATGAAATATGCCATGAAATTATTAGGCACTCGGTGGTAAATTTTGTTACATAGAACCAAATTCTTTGGCTGCATTTTTTGTACAGAGTTCTTTGTATAACTTTTTAGTAAAGACCATGTGTTCATCGGTATCTTGTCTGTCTATTGATTTCGTGGATACTGCCACTCTCCGGTTAATAAAATAACCTCCATTCCATATGTACCAATGTATCTATATGACTATGTCAATAATCAATCAATCAATAATCAATAATTCAATATACAAAAGGGATTTACTCAGACAAGTGCAATTTTTGGCACCCAAATTCACTTCATATTCTATCCTTATTTTCATCTAAGGAGTAAGATTTTCATCCTAAAGGAGAATTAAACATCTAATGGTAAGAATGCGTTCCGGAGGAATGGAAGTATTTACTCCTCGAGTATAATACAATTTTCTCATGTAAGATCACTGCATTTGCGTCACGCCTAATTTACCACCAACAATTCTGTTCCGGG